TCTTGAAAAGAATTCATCATAAAGTCGTCATATCTAACATAGTGATTGGTCACAGCTATTAGATGACCCCTATTGATTTTGGGGTCACAAGGTAATAGGTCAAGGTCACAGAGGCGATAAATGTCAGAACAGTTTCCTCTAATTATCTTGAAAAGAATTCATCACAAAGTCTTCATATTTCACATAGTGATTGGCCATAACTAGTAGATGACCCCTTTTGATTTTGGGGTTACTTGGTCAAAGGTCAATGTCACAGGGGCCTTAAATGTAAGAGAGGTTTGTGCTGATTATCTTGAAAAGAATTCATCATTAAGTCTTAATATTTCACATATTGATTGGCCATAACTAGAAGATGACCCCTATTGATTTTGGGGTCACTAGGTCAAATGTCAAGGTCACAGGGGCCTCAAACGGCAAAATAGTTTCCGCTGATTATCTTGAAAAAAAATCATCATAAAGTCGTTATATTTCACATAGTGATTGGTCACAACTTTTAGATGACCCCTTATGATTTTCGGGTCACTAGGTCAAAGGTCAAGGTCACAGGGGCCTCAAATGTCAGAATGATTTCCGCTGATTATCTTGAAAAGTATTCATCACAGAGTCTTAATATTTCACATATTGATTGCTCATACTTAGTAGATGACCTCTATTGATTTTGGGGTCACTAGGTCAAAGGTGAAGGTCATAGGGACCTTAATTGGTAATATGATTTCCGCTTATTGACTATGGTTACTATTTATCACAAAGTCTTCATATTTCACATATTGATTTGTCATAACTATTAGATGACCCCTATTGATTTTAGGGTCACAAGGTCAAGGTCATACGGGCCTTAAATGTCTGAATGGTTTCGCTGATTATCTTGAAAAGTATTCATCACAAAGTCTACATATTTTAAGTATTGTTTGGTCATATCTAGTAAATGACCCAAATTGATTTTTACGTCACTAGGTCAAAGGTCAAGGTCACAAGGGCCTTGAATTGTAAAAAGATTTCCCCTTATTATATTGTTTACTATTTATCCCAAAGGTGAAGGTCATAGGGACCTTGAATGGTAATATGATTTCCGCTTATTGACTTGGTTACTATTTATCACAAAGTCTTCATATTTCACATATTGATTGGTCATAACTACTAGATGACTCCTATTAATTTTGGGGTCACCGGTTTGAAAGGTCAAGATAACAGGTCTTTGAATGGTAGTTTGATTTCAGCTCATTATCTTGAAAGATAATTATCGCAAAAACTTCATATTTCACATAGTGATTGGTCATAACCAACAGATGATCTGTATTGCTTTTGGGGTAACTAGATCAAAAGTCAAAGTCAGAGGGTTCTTAAATATCAGAATAGTTTCCACTTATAATCTTGAAAACTTTTTATCACAAAGTTTTCATATTTCACATACTAATTGGTCATATCTAGTAAGCTACCCCTATTGATTTCGGAGTCACTAGGTCAAAGGTCAACCTCACAGGGTTCTTGAATGTTTGTATGGTTTCCAATTATTATCTTGAAAGCTATTTATCACAAAGTCTTCATATTTCTAATATTGATTCGTCATAACTATTAGATGACAACTATTGATTTTTGGTCACTAGTTCAAAGGTCTAAGTCACATTGGCCTTAAATGTCTCATTATCTTGAAAACTGTTTATCACAAAGTCTTCATTATTTTCCTTTTTCCATAATTGAACACTTCCATGTAACCATTTATGGCAAGTTTCTATCACAAAATTACCAATAATGTGAGTTAAGGGCTTGAAAAGGGGGCATTTGTGTCGCTCAACATTTCTTGTTAGCTTTAGAGCCCCCTAAAAGGGGCCAATGAAACTAATATGAGCAAACTTGATAAAAGACTACTTAAGACAGACAAAGTTTGGTGATCATCCATCAATTATTTCAGTAGGAGATGATGTTCAAAAGTTTTTCTACTTTTAGATTTAGCTGCCCCTAAAAGGGGCCAATCAAATAAATATGAGCAAACTTGATAAAAGACTACATACGAATGCTACAGACACAGTTTGATGATCATCCAACAATTATTTTGGTAGGAGATGATGTTCAAAGTTTTTTTTCTATTTTTAGCTTTAGCAGAGCTTAAAAATGGCCAATCAAATTAATAAGAGCAAACTTGATAAAACGCTTCCTAAGAATGCTACAGACAAAATTTGGTGATTATCCATCAATTAGTTCTGTAGAAGGAGTGTTTTAAGGTTTTTCTAGTTTTAGCTCTAGCGGCCACTATAAGGAGCCAATCAAATTAATATGAGCAAAGAATGCTACAGGCAAAGTTTGGTGATCAGCCATCAATAAGTTCTGTAGAAGGAGACATTTAAATGTTTTTCTATTTTTAGCTCATCTGAGCATATGCTCAGGGTGAGCTATAAGGATCACTCTTCGTCCGTCGTCCGTCGAAAACGTCGTCCGTTGTCCGTTCACACTTTTCAAACGACATCTCCTCTGAAACCATAAGGCAGATCATAATGAAACTTCACAGGGATGTTCCTTGTGTGAAGCCTTAACAAAGTTGTTCAAAGAATTCCATTCCATGCAGAACTCTGGTTGCCATGGCAACCAAAATAAAAACAAACTTTAAACATCTTCTTCTAGAAAACCCAAAGAGCTAGAGCTTAGATATTTGGCATGAAACATCTTCTAGTGAGTGTCTACCAAGATTGTTCAAATAAAATCCCTGGGGTCAAAATTGGCCCCGCCCCAGGGGGTCATTGATTTTCCCTATATGCATATAGTAAAAACTTAAAAACATCTTCTTTTAAAGTACCCAAAGAGCTAGAGCTAAGATATTAAGCATGAAACATCTTCTAATGAGTGTCTACCAAGATTGTTCAAATAAAAGCCCTGGGGTCAAAATTAGCCCCGCCCCAGGGGGTCATTTATTTTCCCTATATGCATATAGTAAAAACTTAAAAAATCTTCTTCTAAAAAACCCAAAGAGCTAGAGCTTAGATATTTGGCATGAAACATGTTCTAATGGATGTCTACCAAGTTTGTTCAAATAAAAGCCCTGGGGTCAAAATTGGCCCCGCCCCTTAGGGTCATTGATTTTCCCTATATGCATATAGTAAAAACTTCTTTTAAAGAACCCAAAAAGCTAGAGCTAAGATATTTAGCATGAAACATCTTCTAATCGGTGTCTACTTAGTTTGTTCAAATAAAAGCCCTGGGGTCAAAATGTGCCCCGCCCCAGGGGGTCATTGATTTTCCCTATATGCATATAGTAAAAACTTAAAAAAATTTCTTTTAAAGAACCCAAACAGCTAGAGCTAAGATATTTAGCATGAAACATCTTCTAATAAGTGTCTACCAAGATTGTTCAAATAAAAGCCCTGGGGTCAAAATTGGCCCCGCCCCAGGGGGTCATTGCTTTTCCCTATATGCATATAGTAAAAACTTAAAAAATCTTCTTCTAAAAAACCCAAAGAGCTAGAGCTTAGATTTTTGGCATGAAACATGTTCTAATGGATGTCGACCAAGTTTGTTCAAATAAAAGCCCTGGGGTCAAAATTGGCCCCGCCCCAGGGGGTCATTGATTTTCCCTATATGCATATAGTAAAAACTTAAAAAAATTTCTTTTAAAGAACCCAAAGAGCTAGAGCTAAGATATTGAGCATGAAACATCTTCTAATGAGTGTCTACCAAGTTTGTTCAAATAAAAGCCCTGGGGTCAAAATTAGCCCCGCCCCAGGGGGTCATTGATTTTCCCTATATGCATATAGTAAAAACTTAAAAAAATCTTCTTTTAAAGAACCCAAAGAGTTAGAGGTAAGATATTTAGCATAAAACATGTTCTTATAAGTGTCTACCAAGTTTGTTCAAATAAAAGCCCTGGGGTCAAAATTGGCCCTGCCTCGGGGGGTCATTGATTTTCCCTATATGCATATAGTAAAAACTTAAAAATCTTCTTTTAAAGAACTCAAAGAGCTATGGCTAAGATATTTAGCATCAAACATGTTCTATTAGGTGTCTACCAAGTTTGTTCAAATAAAAGCCCTGGGGTCAAAATTGGCACCGCCCCGGGGGTCATTGATTTTCCTTATATGTGTATAGCAATTACTTGAAATCTTCTTTGAAAAAACCCAAATAGCTAGAGTTAAGATATTAAGCATGAAACATCTTTTAGTGAGTGTCTACAAAGTTTGTTCAAATAAAAGACCTGGGGTCAAAATTGGCCCCGCCCCGGGGATCATTGCTTTTCCTTATATGTGTATAGCAAAAACTTGAAATCTTCTTTGAAAAAACCCAAATAGCTAGAGTTTAGATATTAAGCATGAAACATCTTCTAGTTAGTGTCTACACAGTTTGTTCAAATAAAAGCCCTGGGGTTAAAACTGGCCCGGCCCCAGGGGTGTCATTGTTTTTAACTATATGTGTATAATAAAAGCTTAAAAAAATCTTCTTTTAAAAAGCCCAATGAGCTAGAGCTTAGATGTTTAGCATGAAACATCTTCTTATGGTGTCTACCAAGTTTGTGCAAATAAAAGCCCTTGGGTTAAAATTGGCCCCTGCAACGTTGGGGGGGGGGGGGTGGGGGCCTATATACAGGTGAGCGACCTCAGGGCCATCATGGCCCTCTTGTTAGCTTTTGCGGCCTCTAAAAGGGAGCAATCAAATTAATATGAGCAAATTTGATAAAAAAACACTACCTTAGAAGCTACAGACAAAAAAATTTGGTGATCATCCATCATTTAATTTAGTAGTAGAAGATATTTAAAGGTTTTTTTTAGCTCTGTTGACCCCTTAAGGGCCCAATTGAAATGACATGAGTAAATTTAAGTGTGGGTGTCACAAAGATGCTACCAAATTTGAGGTAAATCTGTCAATCAGTTTCAGAGAAGATGATTGTTGACGCATGACGACGGACGCCGGAGTATACCCCCTTTGATACTTATAGCTCACCCTGAACCTTCGGTTCTTGTGAGCTACACATACACAACGCCAAGTTTTATTTACATTAATAATTATAACTGCAATAATATGATATTTGGTTCCAATGAATTTCTACAATTCTAAACATTTCATGTTAATGTGTCTCTTACGGCTATAATTTTCAGTCAAACACATGTGTGAAGTTTCCAAGGCATCCGTGAGTGAAAGGTTTGGAGTCATTTACTCCGTAATTTAAGCTTGTGACTTCTAAAATGTAATGCTTTTCCTTGTTTTCTTATATAATGTGGCTTCCAATGTTAGACATTTTGTAGTCTCTTGACTTCCAATTTTTTGGAACTTAATAAAGTCGCGGATATACATTTGATAGAAGCGAATGTAATTGTAAATGATAAAATGATGATGTGAGTTTAAACAAACATCCATTTCCACTACTTCCGTAATCTGCAGATAAGGTTGAAATATACACCGTCTTCATATTAAATACACTTATGCAATACAAAAACCAAAGCCTGCAAAATGACATATAACTTTTTCATTAAAGTTTCACTTATGGTATAAAATTGATTTGAAAAGACATTGAATTGTTATAGAATATTTGGAAAATCATTGTACACGTACTCAATTGTCAGAGTTTCATGTGTCAGTTAAACAGGCGAAAGAAAAGCATAAAGAAACGTGAGACATACATAAGGCATAGAAAAATATTTTCTAAAATGTAAAACACTATCCTGAATAATGTCCAAAAGAAATTGAAAAAATACGAAATTAATTGAACAATCAAATTGGTCTCTTCTTTCACTTTTTCTTTTTCGCGACCGCCAACTTGAAGGCTATATTCTTCGTTCAATTCGCATTGTGTTACCGGTATAACCATCCAGCCTGCGGTACATATAAAAAACACAAGTCGCATAATGAATCCACGGGTGAACGTCATTTTTGAAATCGTCTTCCTGAAAGAAATGAAAACTGTTCAATTTAAAATAGCATCAATTTTTTCGGTCTATTTAAAACGAAATCCTTACTTAGATGTAGCCTTGTTTACTTGTACGAGTACTGACGTGTTTAATGTTGTAATTTAGGTTTACTACAATCGATATATCCTTATTTTCTTTGGTCGGAAGAAAGAAAATGCATGAAAGCTGTGTTTAAAAAATAATAAACGGGCTTCAGACCATTTCAAGCTATTTTAACAAATCCATTATGCAAACAAAAAACTGAATCATAACTAAGAAAATGAAACTAACTTATATATGACATAAACATGAGTTTTTTTTCTTTAATAACAACGTTAGCTCAATATAGTATAGGATACACATTTGTCTACAAACTATTCAATTTATTTTTCAGAAAAAATGTACGTCTCACTAACGGTTTTCAAATCCAAAATCTAGAAATTCTATAGTCTTCAAATTGATTCCCCATATCGAAAGTTGTTTGGAAAAAACCCCGACGCTATAAATAGAACGTAGCTATCAACCGATGTTAACATAACATTCATAGTGAGTATAATCATAGGCACTTGGTTTCGGGATAAAAAGCCTTTTAGAGGTTTGTAGAACTCAAATTTGATTGAATGTAATGATTTGTTTTAACGTAGATGTCTCTTTCCTAAAACCGTCATTTTTCCGATATTACTAAAAAAAACACAGTGTTTTTTTAGTAATATCGGAAAAATGACGGTTTTAGGAAAGAGACATCTACGTTAAAAAAATCATTACATTCAATCAAATTTGAGTTCTACAAACCTCTAAAAGGCTTTTTATCCCGAAACCAAGTGCCTATGAGTATAATTTCACATGTTTGTAAAAACAAGGCACATTATGTTCCGGTAACAAATGAATTTTTCACTATGCAGAAAGGGCAATTTATTTGTAAATTATGTGTTAAATAATAGTGACATAATTGATTTAGAACATGTGAAATGTTCATCATGTTGAATTTGATAAAGATAGCAAAAATGTAAACAAAGTAGCATCTTAACTTCCATACAAAATACTTATTCACACTATAACAGTAATAATTACCGAAAAGCAAAAGAAAAAAAGATAGCTCAGAAATATGATCAATAGGTAACCTATGAAAACGAGAACAGGACATAAAACAGATCAAAGGCAAAAAAAAGGTAAACAATATATCATTTATGTGCTTTAATGGCCTAACGAGCACAGAACTTTGTCAGGGTACAAATTATAATTATTTTTCTAGTATAATATCAGGATTTAGTTATAACCATATACCGGTAATATAGTTGGTATTAACAAATTTTACGTAGGATCAAATCTAAGTGTTTATTAAAATCTAAGAAAAGACGTACAGACTTCTGTCAAATTAACTTGAAATTTAACTGATTTATACCACGACATACAAACGGTGACCTTATAGGTCACACAATCGTACTATAACATGGCTAGCGATTGGTTGAAATTAGTGCAAGAGAAAACCGTAAGATTCAATGGGACATCTGGTGATTGGGTGAAAATTTATGCGTTGTTTTTAAGTATGGAAACTTATTATACACGTTGTAATAAGTTAAGCACATTTTGATATCGACATTAAAAAAACCCCTCAAAATTCATGCTAATTTTCATGAAAATTTTCAAAACGTTTTAAAAATAAAATATTGACAAGTGAATGTAAAAAGTGAAAAAAATGTACACATTAAGCACTTAATATGTTCGAAAAATACCAAAAATAGGTCAGAATATGCCAAAATGCATATAGCCATTACTGAAATTAAGTCACGCAGTAGTAATGCTATAACGTTATCAATGATATAAATCATTTTGCGACAATGATGCTTTATGTTCAATCACAACACTACGCACACGCACGCATATACACATGCATGTACGTGTATGTTAATATGTAGTCATTGTTTCATCAGTCCTGTCCTTTAAGGGTTAATTTTGAAGCACAAAGTGATGATAATTTACCTGCATGCAATTTCCACAGTGTATTATTCAAATATATGAATTTTGAAAGAATGAGAACGTGCCGTCTTACAACGTAACATTGGTTCTTAGAACTATCATCTGCCGATGCCCTGTGTCTTCTTAATGACGTGCACGTATCGAGGGGAAGAGAGAAGACGCACATACACACCAACATACGAGGGTTGTCCCAAAATGTCGTAGACTACATTATTTTCTCTTCAACCTGACGTCATAACTTAATAAAATTTACCAGATATCTTCCTTGGTCATTTGTGAATTTACCAGCCAATATATTAGGTAACGCTTTTTTTTTATCAGCCTGAGGGTTTTATATTAAACAGTACAACATACCCGGAGCAAGATAAAATATTAGTCAGTGTTGAGAGCATGCTTCTTAAAATAATGCCTTTAACTTCTAGCATAATAATAATAATGGGAAATACATTCATGTGGAATTACGTCATTCATTTTACGTCATATCACCAATAGACGTTTATGTAACGTTAATTTGAAAAAGTCTGTAGCATAATACGTAACAGCAGTGCTATTTTGAAAATACCCAAAATGGCGACGTCAGATGAAAATGCGGCGCAAGCAATGTCATTGAATACTGTGTTAAGTTGAAGAAGCGTCCAGCGTTAATTGACAACATGGAGAACATTATATTTTATCAAGAGAATGCATCTTGCCATAGATCTCAGGAGACACAGATTGTACTTGATGTGATAGGTTTTCAGAGACTACCGTACACCCTAAGACTTTGCAGTGTTTCCTTGTTTGAAATCACAATTACGAGGTCACAGGTTCGAAAACTTCAGCGAACTCCGCCAGGAAACTCAACTCTGCGAGTGTTGAGTACGTTGAAGCAGGACTGTTTTGAAAACGTTTATGATAAATTGGTCGCCCCACACTGACAGTGCATTGCGAAACCCAGTGAATACATTGAAAAACATTTCTAAAAATCTTATAACGTTATGACGTTTATGACGGCGTGCGCCGGGTATGTAAGGTAGCATTCTTTAAATTTTGATAACTTGGTCAATTTTGGAGGTATTTTGATTTTATTTCGAATAGACACACATAAAAGGTGTATTGACTTTTCCCTAGTTGGAGGACTCTATTGTTTTATAACTGATTGAGTAACAGCCTTTGTCTACGATATTTTGGGACAACCCTCGTACATATACAACTTACAATTTGTCTAGTAACAAAGTAAGATACTAAATGTAGCAATTTCAAGTCTAGAAATATATTAACTACAGTTTGTCTTAAAGTAACATATATTCCTAAAATATCCACTATATAACTCCCAAGCAACACAACAAAACCAACATTCAATGCAAATTTTACTGTAAGCAATTTCAATATTCAAACGAGATCAAAAATAAAAGTACTGCATTTATATTATAGAAACCATTAACCTGGATAAGTAAAATAAATTTATACGTTATCAAATGCATTTAAGACACATTCAAATTCACTAGATTTTATAATCAATTTTGTCCAGCAGCATTTCAGTATTTTAAACGAATCGCGGTAAAGGATTACTACTCTAGTAAATTGACTCTTTATAGAAAACAAAGAATTTAAACACTCAAATTGGTTGCACAGCTAGTGTTATAGGTTACTGTTCATAAGATAGTATTAACTAAATTAAATTGGCTAAGAACGGCGCTGTCCTTCGATCAATTTATTTTGGTAAATGCTTACTAATGAACAATGAAGTGTTTGAAATAAATTTTTAATAAACAGTCGATTTACTAGACAGATTAATAGGCACATAATTTAACAAAGAAAATATGTAACGATTCATTTGAAATACTGCAATCCTACTAGACAAAAATGATTTTGCAAATATGCTTATATACCAATGAACACTGACATAAACTAAATTTAACAATTCACAATACAAATTAAAGTCCACAGATATTTCCTCTCTTTTTTCGAAACCTTTGTTACGATCACTATGGAGATATATGCTAAGCATCTGCTTCTATCATGCTGAACAAGTTGATTGCACTAGGCGATGTGCCTTAGATTAGCAGGGTACGAAGTTGATTTTAATAACAATTAAATCTATTACCGATTTACAAGATATAACAATTCTGAAACCATGTTCAGCAAGCAGACAGCACAGTTTACACAATATTCCATCAAAATACTCGTTAATTTTAAAAGCGTCCAAGTCACTTCGAACAATGAACTTAAAAGTTGTAAAATGACATAGACGATTGAGTTTTCTTCCGATAACTTTTCACAACGTATTACGTAATCGTCTGTCGCGAATAGAGTCCAGAGAGCCCAGAAAAACAACACAGTGCTTATTAAACACAACATCGCTTGCAAAGATGAGCAAAGCTGCCACATTTTGTCTCAAAAGATGTGTCCGAAAATCAGTTCCTGAAAAGGAAAGATAAAATCAGAAAGTATTTGAATTTATTTGAATTATTCTCGGTTTTCATGACAATCCCTGACTCGAAATATAAGAAATATAAGCTTCACCACCTAACAAAAACATTTGATTATTGGAGTGAATGTTTCAAATTAATATTTGTCTTTTAAGTTTGCTATATATGATGTTGACGCGTTTAACGCTCATGGAGACACTTTTTCGAGTCACCGTTGACATTTTTTCTCGTTATAAATTGGCCTTTTAAGCTTTAGTATTCAAAGCATGTACGATGCCGAATAAAATAAGCTAAAAATAACAATTGATCAATAAAGTAGACTTTTACAATTTCAAGATAAAAACCACTTTTACAAGCGTCAAGTTTAGCCTATTTTTAAGCCATTCGTGTTATGCTCGGATAATATGAAAAGATATTTCGGTGTAGGATAATTATTTTTAAAGTCGTTACAGGATCCGAAATATGTGCTGCAATTTAACCTGCGGACCCGTTCCCGAACTCGTATGGAATCAAAAAGGTATTAAAACAAAAGTACATCATGCACAACAAATCATTAATAATTTCCTTGAATACAACTTCTATAGTGTGAAGTACCTATGTAATAGTTTTACTGTTTTGCTTAGTAACTCATACACATTTTCGAATTCTGGCTCCTGTTCAAATAATTATATAATAATAGTTCATATTCTCAAACACCCTGTTTCTATTCTTTAACAAAGTTTTACCTTTAATCATCATATTAGAAAGAAATACGAAAGTAAGTTTATATAATTAAAAATCTTACTTGTGTTTTTCAAATCCTCCTATTTGCGTTCACTAGGAACCTTTCAAAATCATATAATTACATCGAAATAATAAACAGGTAGCAGACGAAACAATCTAGCAGAAAAGACATGTACACACTGCAATGTTGATAATTACCTCAGACAAAGCATGATTGACGTAACGTAAATTCTCTGTAACATGCACTTCCCGTATAGTCAAGAAAATGTAAGTACAAAATTATACTTATTTATAATTAACTTTATTAATTGAGATACTGTTTAATGTAATAAGATACATGTATCAAGCGTAAAACGTGGGAGAGTGAGATGCAACCTTTCATTGTCTCTATGAACTAAAACTTTGAATTTTCACGTATCTACATAGTATTTGTAAAAGTAAACAAGAGAAGGGAGAGCGGTGGCCTTGACCTCAAGTTGCTTACATGAATACAGAATCGTATTGGTGTAAAATGCTGTACATTAATGTAACGAGGTCCTATATATTCTCAAAGTTTATAGCCAGGCTTTAAGTAGTCAAAACCAAACCTCGGTGACATAGACCTTTGACCTAAAAATCAAATGGGGTCATTAACTACTCATGACCAAACTCCAAACTAAATATATGATATTATAGGTCAGAGTTCTTATGTTTTAGTAGCCGATATTAAACCTCAAAATAAATAAGGATCATTTACTAGCCATTACAACCCTCTACATCAAATCTAATGATTAAAGACCAAATCGTTCTTGAGCTATTAAACAGAAAACCTTTTGGTGGTCAAGATAACGGTACCTTGGCCAAATGTCCTGGAAGAGTTATCAGCTAGTTATTGCTATTCTCCTTTCCAAATATTTCAACTGTAGGCCAGATCTGGTCAGGCAAGTTTTTAGTAGTCAACGCTATTGTAACCTTTGACTGACCTCAGAACCAAAAGGGATCATTTACTTGTCATGACTACCCAATTCTTTGTAAAGTGGACAAAACCGGTCTCAATGTATTAGTCGGACAGGTTTGTCGTTAGTCAAGGAAAACAATGCCCTTTTAAACCTTTCCCTTTTAAAAAATAAAGGGAAGAATCTATTTACTAACCACTGTAAGGAAAAAGCAATTCCCGGGTTTTATTCAACAAAAAAGCTTTTTTTGGTAAAGGGTTCGGGGGGGAAATTTTTAAACCAATTTGACCTGAATACAAAGGGAGCCCAAAAAAACTAGCTTGACCAATTTCCGGGTTACAATTATTTTTTGTATTGGGGGGGTTTTTAAGCTAAAACCTATCAATCAGCCCAAATTTTAATCTTAGTCAAGGCCTTTCTTTGATTTTGAATTTTTCATCTACTTAATAATGGTCATTTACTTGTCATGATCACTCTCCACACCAAAAATTAAAGCTGCAGTCCTTTAGTGTTTCAGAGCCCAAAAAACTAGGGAAAAAACCAAAGGGGTTTAAAGGGGGAATTTTTACCAAAAAACTTGGCAACAGGCCCCAAAAATTTTTTTAAAAAATTTTGGGGGGAAAAAATATTTTATTAATATTAACCCCACCCAAAATTTCCCTTTTAAAAAATCTTATTAGAGGTTATGGTTTTTGAACATTGCATTTTTTCAAAATCCTCCTTTTTTGGCTCTTTGGCCTTCTCGTGAAACTAACAGGAACCATTTGAAAAACTTTTTGAAGGATACCACATAAGATTCATCTATGTGCAGTTTGGTCAAAATTTAGTCATTGGTTTTTGAGTATATGTTTTTGAAAGAAATTGTCGCAGAAGCTGACGGACAGAAGGCGAAGATGACCAGGAGTATGCTTCTTTTTTCTCCTCTTTTTCTATCTATTCGCACTCAATATTCTGATTATTTACAGCAGTCAAGGACGTGTATTCTTTACATGTTCATTTACATATGTTATATATATTCGTCTTAATAAGTATAGGAGGAAGCGATACAAGAAAAGCAATACCAAGAGGAAATGAATTCAGACACTGGAAAAAGGTGCATAGTGAGCCATTGACACTAAAATAAGGTAAGCACATTACATAACATTTACTAATGCCAGGTTATATAAAATAACGAGACAAAATATCAATACTTTGAGATTTTGTTGACAGTAAACAAACACAAACTTTATTTATCTACACACATTTCAAATTATTTTTTTTTAAATTCGATCACTTACAAGTATGATGAGGGAGAGGGTGGTTGATTGTTGAAGAGATGGGAGATATGTACATATTTTGATAACGGAAAAAGTCGACGATATAAATTTGTTATACAAAGAGGGACACGATGACCTAAGGACATCTCGAAAAGGTAATAAATTAATTATCAAATACAGAAGTATGGGTCACATTCTTAGTCATTCCAAGTCAAACTTTGATATCGTACTCATTAAAGTGTAGTGTAAGAAGGGAAAACCAAACCTGATCATAACAAAATTTTACAAGGTCTCCGAAACCACCATATTACAAAGTGTATTATTTTAAAGCTATTCTTGCACCTAACTTCTTCAAAATTTCAAATTTAAACTTGAAAAAAATAGTTAGGGAAACTGGTTTTGCTCAGGCCGGCTAATAAAAATATTTTTTATGGGAATAAACGTTCTAAGAATAAATATCAAGACGTCGAGTGATTTACCTTACGCTAATAATAGAAAGTGTAAAATTTTGTTTATCATCTGGCCCCCGTGTTCACAAAAGATTTAATGGATCAGGATCAAGAATCAGGATCAAATTTAAAAAAAACCCTATATTTTCATTGTTTATCCTCATAGAATAAATATCCTGATGTATAAAATTTGATAAAACTGGACTTGAAATAGCAAGTATTATGAAAATTTTAGAATAAATTAATTGTTAATTTTGCAAGATATGGGCATTTTACAGTTGACCCAAATATTGATCCTGATCCTAAAATTGATCCTTATTTTTGATCCAAATATTTTTTTATTTGGATGTTGTTATTTTCTTGATTTTAATCCCAAAATAGTTTTTTTTCTTTGCAAATCAGCATATTTTTACATTTGAATATTTACAATTTAATTCAAAAAAACACAAATAATTTTTAGTAACATTAAAACAATGAAAAATAAAATCAGGGATCACTTGATCCTGATCCTGATCTTTTCTTAGTGAACACGGGGCCTTTTGCAGCCGATATATTTCATAACATTAAGCGAATATTGTAGAAAAATATTTGATAATCATCAAGTAGTTTTGATAAATTGGTCCGATCAAAAAATGCCCTCTTTTATTTTTCATAGCATGATACTGAATACGATATGTTCTAATCGCTTAAAAAGTACAAAAATAAAACCACAATTTCTAAAATTAATCTTTTGATATTGGTCATTACTGAGCTAAAAACTATCCTATTTGTTTTATGTCTTGTTGTTTCTCCAAATAGTGAATGATACCGTGTTTCTTGCGTTACTAGCGTCTGAAAACTTCTTGTCACAAAACTGACACTGGTAACGGGATAAATTTTCCTTTCATGTAATTTCCCTTTAAATGACGGGTTTCCCAAATTGGCCAGATTACTTAAAAACTTTGAGCAGTTATATACACGTTAGATTCCTTCTCCATCTTTTTATTGTGGTATTACTTTCAATCTGTCCAGTAAGAAGTTGTGATGGTGCCAGGTCTTTCAGCTGGTAACCGTACGGACTTCTTCTTCCCTGTAAGAAAATTTTAAATGTAAACTGTAACAATGCAAATTTGGGCACACACAAAAATCACGAATTTTTGTAAAATTTCCGCTGGAATGGTAAAAAATAATCTAAGAGATTTTGTGAACACAAGAAGCGTTTACTACAAACAAAAATAACTACAAAATTGGCAGAACTCGGTTTGATCGAGTCCTGTACATGAGGGATAATGAAAAATTGCAATATCGGCTCACATCGCTTAGCAACGGCTTGAACAGTACTCATTTTTCAAACACTTAAAATGCTGGAATCAAATAACCCCGAAGGACTAGAAAAATATAACGACAACTAGAGTTTAGAACGGGGAACAACCTTTTACAGTTCCACAAGGCACGTGGCAAATCTGCTGATGTTGAAGTAATAAAATTTTGGAAAAAAGTGCACTTAACAATATTTACAAAAAAAGTGATTTTTTTTCAAAAGTTGAGTGGTACCGATGCAAATATGTGGCATTGGATGGTAGCATTCGATGGCTGTTCCCACTGTGTTGTTGACAAAAGCTTAAAAGCCAATCTTTGCTGTAAAAGTTTTACCTTTGAGCCACGGCGAACTTCGGGTATTAATTTAAATATTTTGAATTTTTTACTGATTCCTGGTGGCTTTGAGATCTGGAACATTTGCGAAGAAAATAACTTTTAAAATTCACACAACATTTGTTTCCTAAAAAAAGCACTGATCTTGTACAACCAACATTAAAAACAACTGTTTAAGGAAGCAAGTTTTACACTTTAAACTTGATATAGACTCTAAAACTTTAAGATATATCATCATAAAACTTTGCAGGTAGAAGAATCTCATTGGGTAAGGATGCACAGTGAAACAGAACCGTGACATTGCCATGCCTATTTTTGGATAATTGTCCTTTGTCCATTCTTTTTCAAACTTTGATCTTTGTGCGCTGACATTACTGTGAAACTACAAGAGGTATCTAATATCAAGAAAATTAAGTCGGTATATAGATGACTCATTGAGTAAGAAATGCAAGTGCAAAGAACAAAAACTCTTGTCTTTGTTTAAGCTTGGAATTATTGCACTTTGAACTTTGTCTGGGACCATAACTCTGAAACTACAAAAGGTAAACTTTTCTGTGTCCAAAACCTATTCGGGGGGAGCATCACTGTAAGAAACTATGCAAGCTACAGTAATAATATCAAAGACCTATTGGTTTTTGAGTATAAGTGAGCATAAAGGTATTTTTAATGCCTTCAAACAATCAATATTTTTTGTTCTTCAGAGAGAGACAAGCAATTGACTGTTTAATAATGTTTTAATCTGATGGATTTAAAAGCGGCCCTTCAGTTTTTATTTTCAGTGGAAAAAACAATTTCTATGTTGTTCAAATTTAAGTATTTCAATAATTTTATCTTGGAAAAGTGCATCATATCACTGTTCTTCTTCAAAATAGTCAGGCAGCATATTGTTTCTTAAAAATATGAGACCCAACGAAATGAATTCTTCCACTTTAAAATTTAAATATAGAAAGCAAAACGGTAAGATTAGAGGTATTGACATGGTTTCCTATATTCTTTCTACTTATTTTATCAAACGGCAAATTTCATTTTCCATCTTAATTCTTTTTTGATTTTGACAATTAACGAAACGAATTTTCTAAAAAATAACATAGTTACCTTTAGAAAAAGCTGAAAGGCCGCTCTAAAGCATGTTAGAAAAAAGCCTATCACTGGTAGAAAGTAGCACTGAAATGGTGAAGTCTCTGAGTGGCATTTATACCTATAAGCTTTTCCCTACATTTCAATAATTTTGATTATTGAAATCATTTAAATTTGCATAAGACCACTAAGGTAACTTAAGGTTTTTGTTCCTATTTGAACACTCGTTTTTGGATTACAGAATGTTTACCTTAGTAAAAGTAAGTGCCTGACTCAAGTAAACGAGAAATTTTCATGAAGAAAATGCAAATGTAGAAAAATGCAAAGGTAGACTACAGTTTTGAAGTTTATTCTTTTTATTTTTTATAAGAAATTCATGGCAAAACAAAGCATAAAAATTTTAATTTATGTAGAAAAAAAAGCATATCCATACATAATTAACACAATATTTAATTGGCAATTACCTTTGAAAAAGTAAAATGTAATCATATCCCTTAAAGCTGCATGCCTCCAGATGAGCCAAAATATTTCTAGAAAATCAAACTTTGGAAAAATGTACTTCGATTTTAAGAAAAAGTAAAAACATTCAAGATTCGAGTAACATTTTTTTAAATTTGATATGAAGAGTGGATATTTGAAAGAACTTTTTCCAGATAGTATTCCATTTCATGTTTAAAATTTCAGATCATTCTGCTCACTTCGTTTTTCCAGAATAAT